TGGTTAGTTCAGTCGGCGGTGATGACAAGCACAGGACTCCGGGGACAACTGGGCCGCTGAATTCCATCTGTCTGGTTTACTTATACATGACTATTATATAACTGTCAGCGACATAACCCAATCTACCAGCGAGATAAATCAGCCATCTCTGCCGAGTGACGCTATACTGGTAGTGTTGCTACATTCGACGACACAATTCAATAATCATTAGACGTCTCAGCTTAGTCCATTGTACAATTCCGTCTATAGCATTACCACGTGTTTATGAATCACTATCAAATGATGATACCATGTGTTCACGAAAAGTTGAAGGTGTCTTGCCCCACTTATGCACAAACACATGCAAAGGCATGTCCATTGTTCACCTGAACAAAAAACACGGGGACATATGGCACAAGTCAAAGTAGGGAATTGCAAGGGGCATTTTGGCCACTGATGCGTCACTGAACACACCATATATACTGAACAACAAAAGTTCCTGTGACATTGAATAAGATTTAATGCAAAGTTATGTTTTTTACCAAATCAGAAACAATTTCGGTTTGCAACAGATAAAAGACTCATGTAAGTGTTCAAATGGTTTAATTTGCCATACTGACTTCAGAAAATGCGTGAGTTCATAAAAAAACCCCATTAACATGCCAAAATGTCAATTTACAAATCAATAGCGTGTGTGTCCACCTCTGGTTGCGATACAAGCAGCACATCTTCATCTCATGGAATGGACCAGGCGTCGCACAAAGTCCTGTGGGATATCTGTCCAGATCTGCTGGAGCATGTTTCGAAGTTCCTGGAGTGTCTGTGGTACACGTGGTTGACGTCGAAGGCGCCGATCCATCTCATCCAACATGTGTTCGATTGGTGAGAGATCAGGGGAGCGAGCCGTCCCGGAGATGACATTTATGTTGTTTTGTTGAAGAGAATCCTGAACAAGTCGAGCAATATTAGGCCGGGTGTTGTCATGTTGAAAGGTAATGCCTGGGCCATGACGACGCAAAAACGGTAGAACAACATGGCTGATGATCTCGTCGCGGCGGCGCTGTCCATTGAGATTTCCCTCTACCACTATCAAACGGGGCCTCTGTCTTGCTGTACCATAACCCTGCCGCCCCCGATCTTCCTCCATGACACAATGATTGATGTAACGTTCACCTCTACGTCGGTACACTCGAATCCGTCCATCGCAGTGGCTGAGGTGAAAACGAGACTCGTCAGTGAATAGAACTTGTCCCCACTGCATGGCCGTCCAGCGTAGACGCTGTCTGCACCACTGTAGACGTCTTCTTGCGACAATCCCTGCACATCTGAGGCGACGACGTACGGTTTGTGAAGATATTCAGGGCCAGGGATGCTTCTTGCAGTCACTGTTGCTGGCTGGAATCGATTTCGTAGGTGTGTTGTTCGAATCCAGCTGCCTTGTCGATTATTGGTTGCGCGTGGCCTGCCACTCCGAGGATGGTCTCTGACTGCATTCGTCTGTTGCCAACGTTGCCATAAACACCAAATGGTGTTTCTGTGGACGTTAAATTGTCTTGCAACATCATGTTGACTCGATCCTGCTTCGAGCATACCAATGGCTCACAGACGCTCATTTTCTGACAGGCGTGGCATTTCGTAATGTTGAATAATTGCGTAATTTTGTTGTTTTCCTGAGTAGTTGTTGTCAGCACGATGCTAAACAATGCATATGGAATCCCGCTAACGCACATGTTTTTATACCCATTCTTGGGTAGTGAAATGCATGGGGCTTGCATAAAAGTCATCTTTTGCATGGAATGCATGCTTTTCTGTAGCAGTTGCGCTTTTGTGACTTGATTCCATACATGTACTACAATATTGAAAACCAAACTTTACTTGTTTAAAAAAAATACACTAAAATATTGGTGTCACAGGAACTTTTGTTGTTCAGTATACATGTAGGTGATAAATATAGTCACGCTGGTCATGGTTCGGGGTTACACGAAGCCGTGGATCGTTGCTCATACTCTCAATCACTGGTTTAGTTTATTGGATAATTTACAGGCTACAGTTATGTAAATGAAATATAACAGGTTAATGCGGAATACAACAGTCCTTAATGTGACTACTTGCTGGATACTATTGTTTCATAACCATGTAATTCTCTCGGTCTCTTGTGACTGTGCACATGTACGTAATGTAATGAACGAATAAGTTATATAACAGAACGAATAAGATTGTCTGTTTTACATCGGAGCTTTTTGTTTGTTAACTAATCCAGTTTCACTTCTTCCAGACATAATGCGTTGATACATTTAAGTTGAAATGTGTGACGCTTTTGTAAAAACAACAACAATATATCAATTCCTTGGCCCAGACGGGGATTATTGTTCTTTATTTGACAGACGCATTACAAAATGCAAGCCATGATTTATTTAAAGTATACATCAGTTAGTCAGCGTAGTGACTATTGAAACATTCATACCACACTAGAATTGTGCTCACTGAGAGAAGAGGTTTAACATGTGTAAAAAGTCCAGCTGAACAGGGTCATTCAAGCCGATACTCTACAATCCCCCCGGAGACGGTAATACGAGGGGCATGTATGCAAGGTGTACACTATAGGCAGGTATCATGGAGAGTTGTTGAATCTCGAGGAATTGGTTATGCAGGTCGTGACAATGACAAAACATTGATCTGAATATAGTGTGTATAAATAGATCCGCTGTGAATGTCTAGATCTGGACAAGAGTCGATATTGTCAAACAGTCCTGGGATTTGAAAGTGTTTTCGGCAACATAATAGTCGTATAAACATGTAGCAACTTGCTATGACCTCTACTGTAAGAGCAGACTACGAACGGAAAATTCCCGAACATTCTTTGCGATGGAACTGTGACATATACTCTTCAAAGAAAGTAGGGGATCATGAACTATAAATGTTATGATGAGTCGTCCAAAGAGAGATCAACTTTGTATAATGGCTGTCGGGGATAGCACGGCCCCAACACTCCTGAAACAATGCACGTGGACCATGCAACTTCTCCGTGCACGTGGGCAGAGGGTCATTCTTGATTTAAGAATGTTAATGATCTGTCCCACATAGGGCGTCCTGGGTCTAGAACACAAGTCCGGGGTAGATTAATCAGAAACCAGGCGTTAGGAAATCCAGCCAAACAACCCATCAAAACACTGAGTTCACGTTACTGACCAGACGATTTGAGATCATCTGTACACAGCTAATCTGCATGCATGGCGACCACGTGTTGTACCGCCGTCAACAACGCGACACATTCTATCCAGGTATTCAGAGCGTAGAAACTTGGGACTGGTCTCGTGTGAGCTAATGAATACAGACTCATTCTGGACTTTCTGGATATGCGTGGGCGATATCCTAACGAAAGTCAAACGAACGTCATCGTAAGGCAATATGACAGATTTGGGTTGGGTCTGTTTTAATGATATGGGGCGGGATCACTATGACTGCCACATGACTGCATAGTCATGACATCGTCCGCGGAAGGTGACTGGACAGGACTACTGATGGTACCTACTGGCGCCATTAGTGGTACTGTATGCGCACCGTGCTGGTCCACGTTTTGTCTTTGAAGACGATGACCCCTGTGCCCACCGTCGTAACTGACTTCCTCCAGCAGCAACTCATCACAAGAATGAAATCACCAGCCATGAGTCTTGACCTTTCCCCCATCGAACACGACTGGGACTTGATCGTGAGACGTGTACGCCGACGTCATAGGTCGTTAGGCGCTGTAAGAAGAGTGGACAAGACTCGCCCATGATGCCATTTGGGAACTGATTGGGACCATGCCACGCCTTATATTATATGGCCTATTATTCATTAAGTTATCTCAGCCGTTAATTTTTCTGAGTACACACCCCTAACGTCTATCTCGGTTGTTAGCACCTTTATAATACACCACCAACAAGCTTGTCGCGATGCGACATGTATTGTTGCTATCAAGACAAGAGTGAGTGAGTGAGTGAGTGAGTGAGTGAGTGAGTGAGTGAGTGAGTGAGTGAGAATGGCTTCACGCAGCTTTTAGCAATATTCCAGCAACTTCGGCGAGTTTCGGCTGCATCAGTTTGTCATTGTGCCCTTATTAAGGGACAGACAATCGAAAATAGATATATATTTTTTCAGCTGTATATGCAAAACCAGATATTCTTTTTGTTAATTAAATCTAAGAGCCTAAATATTTCAAAAAGGGATCTTGCAATAATGTACATTTGGTGGTATGTTTGTATGTTTCTGAAGCATAATTTTATTTTTAAGCATTTTCTGGGACAATTTATAATTTTTGATAAAATCCCAGGGGAAAAACAAGAGCTGGTCGGCTCGGAGTATACTGTGTCTGAGTGGGGTGTTAATGTTAAAACAGCGATAATGGTATCTCGGTGGGCTAGCAATATAATCAGTCCGGACTAGTACAATCAGCCGCACGCACGCACAGACACCCACGTCGCAAATTAAGAGCAATAATACTGAAGGCGATTTTAAACCCAACCTCCACTGACCACACCACAACATGACGATATACTGACCTCTGATCTGTAGTCACCAGTTTCCGTTGCTCTGTGACAGTAAATGAGGACAACTTCATAACGAAATACGTGAGGTACACTTTATTCAGGATACATTTGGTTAAAATACACTTATATCTATTCATGTTTTAGCAAAGAAAATTTGGGTTATGATTATAAAGCTAATATATCACATAAAACTGTGTCCAACGAGTCAGTGCCAGGCCATTCTTACTGTTTAACCTGACATCCCGTTGAAGTCGTCCGTAGTAACGAATTGGCTGATTGACGAATCAGGGCAACTTGGCAAGATCCTAAACCATATCAGGTTTTGGACAAGTTACGGTTGGGTAGCCATAAAAATGTCTCAACGGCAACACTCACCTCGTTACAGTTAAGAACGCTACCACCCAGGTGTGATTTACGTTTATTAAAGAGATAAGAGTCAGGGATGCAAGGTTAGGAGAGATAATAGTCAGCTGATGCTAGGTCAGGAGAGATATGAGTCAGAGGGTGCTAGGTCAGGAGAAGAGTCAGAGGGTGCTAGGTCGGGAGAAGAGTCAGAGGGTGCTAAGTCGGAAGAAGAGTCAGAGGGTGCTAGGTCGGAAGAAGAGTCAGAGGGTGCTAGGTCAGGAGAGATAAGAGCCAGCTGATGCTAGGTCAGGAGAGATATGAGTCACAGGGTGCTAGGTCAGGAGAGATAAGAGTCAGAGGGTGCAAGGTTAGGAGAGATAAGAGTCAGCTGACGCTAGGTCAGGAGAGATAATAATCAGAGGGTGCTAGGTCAGGAGAGATAAGAGTCAGAGGGTGCTAGGTCGGGAGAAGAGTCAGCGGGTGCTAGGTCAGGAGAAGACTCAGAGGGTGCTAGGTCGGGAGAAGAGTCAGAGGGTGCTAGGTCGGGAGAAGAGTCAGCGGGTGCTAGGTCAGGAGAAGAGTCAAAGGGCACTAGGTCAGGAGAAGAGTCAGAGGGTGCTAGGTCAGGAGAAGAGTCAGAGGGTGCTAGGTCGGGAGAAGAGTCAGCGGGTGCTAGGTCAGGAGAAGACTCAGAGGGTGCTAGGTCGGGAGAAGAGTCAGAGGGTGCTAGGTCGGGAGAAGAGTCAGCGGGTGCTAGGTCAGGAGAAGAGTCAGAGGGCACTAGGTCAGGAGAAGAGTCAGAGGGTGCTAGGTCAGGAGAAGAGTCAGAGGGTGCTAGGTCGGAAGAAGAGTCAGAGGGTGCTAGGTCGGGAGAAGAGTCAGAGGGTGCTAGGTCAGGAGAAGAGTCAGAGGGTGCTAGGTCGGAAGAAGAGTCAGAGGGTGCTAGGTCAGGAGAGATAAGAGCCAGCTGATGCTAGGTCAGGAGAGATATGAGTCACAGGGTGCTAGGTCAGGAGAGATAAGAGTCAGAGGGTGCTAGGTCAGGAGAAGAGTCAGAGGGTGCTAGGTCAGGAGAGATAAGAGTCAGAGGGTGCTAGGTCAGGAGAGATAAGAGTCAGAGGGTGCTAGGTCAGGAGAAGAGTCAGAGGGTGCTAGGTCGGGAGAAGAGTCAGAGGGTGCTAGGTCGGAAGAAGAGTCAGAGGGTGCTAGGTCAGGAGAGATAAGAGCCAGCTGATGCTAGGTCAGGAGAGATATGAGTCAGAGGGTGCTAGGTCAGGAGAGATAAGAGTCAGAGGGTGCTAGGTCGGAAGAATAAGAGTCAGGGGTGCGAGGTCAGGAAAGATAAGAGTCAGGGTGCTGGGTCGGGAGAGATAAGTGTCCGGTGCTAGGTCGGGAGAGATAAGTGTCCGGGTGCTAGGTCGGGAGAGATAAGTGTCCGGTGCTAGGTCGGGAGAGATAAGTGTCCGGGTGCTAGGTCGGGAGAGAAACGGACATGGGGAAGTGGTCCAAGCCCACAATCTGCAGCTGCAGCCACTTCCACGTCTAAATTTGCGCATTGGTCTGAAGAAGTGGCACACCCCAACGGATCTTTCTCTTAATAGCTTCTCTCATTTGACGTATTGTATTGCCCCTTGATAGTCTTAACTTGTCACAACTATGACTATCCCCTTACTGTCGCAGCAAACCGTGACTCTGCCACGTTCCGGCCCCGACTGTACTTTTGTGGTGGGCGTGAGGTCAAAGGTTCCCATGGTTTGCATTGAAGTTAAGAAGAACTCCGGATCACAGCGTTGTACCCAGGTATCATCCTGGGGCACATTCCGCCACAACAAAGTGCCAGAACTCTTCTAATAATGGGTCAAAAGGTTCCTGGAAATAGTCGGGTCAGCTTCTCATCAGGTGTCAACATTCAGGGTACCCATCTTGCGGACAACTTGCTAAGTTTGAGTTGTCAGTTTGAGTGTACTGTACTGATCCTAATAGAGCTATTCTGAAGTGTAGAATGGTAACACCTCGGTCAGCCATAACCATGCGGTGGACAGCCACCACTCGAGTTCCAGACATGGCATCTTTAGGATGGGGAGATTTAGGGTCGTCTATTCCACTACTTCCTCGCATAGATACAGTAGCCGATTTCTTGACAGTTGAACGTAAGTGCAGTCATCCCCATGCGTGCTGTTCATACCTTCGTGTCACACGCCCTTTTTATGCAGGTACTTAATCACAGCTCGTTTCTCATTTAATCTCTCTATTTTCGGAGTTTCCCTACCCCATTCAAGTTCACTGGCTCTTTTCGAAAACATTCTGTAACTTGGTGTTATGTCTTTCATGAGAAGACATTCTTCATAAACCTCAAAGGAATAACTGTCAGTTCACGAACCTTTCAATTTACCCTCGTACAAAAAACAAACATTTTGTAAAATATTGATGCCAACAACATTATTTCACGGTCAGCAGGTACAGAATACAGACATAAAAAGCCACCAGAGCATGGTTCATCAACAGAGAAGTATCTGCTTATCAAAGTCTTTACTCTGAGTTTTGCCGCCAAGGAAACCTTTCTGCCTCTGGGTCTTCTCGAATCAATGAAGTCCCGCGATCCGTGATGACATTGCCGCTCGCTCCATCTATCAAGATAAGGGTAGGCAGGCCGACGATCTTGAAATGTTTGGACACACGTGCCTAGGTAAAGAAACATTGCTAATAAATTAACGCATTGATTATCCGAAAGGGAACTTGGTTCGGTCGTAATTGACATCATCATGACCCTATCTGGCCAGCTACGTATTAAACGTACATCAATACGAAAGACTGCAGCTACGGAGACTGGGTGAGGGTTTACTCCGCTAGGTAAATATTCAAACAATATCAGGGCTTCACATAGTGTACCCATGTGGGGAATAGAACCCGTTCGGCGTGACGAGCAAACGCTTCAACTACTACGTTTCCACATTATTAATATTTTGACATGATATGGCTGATACTTTGCAGTGGTAGAACTGTACTGCGCACAACAGACGTACGTGGTTTTACTAGAACGTCGATTATTATTGGAATTATAATAGGAAAATAACATAAGTACTGCTAATAACAGAGAAACGTGAAAATAATATTTTGGGCGTTTTAGTATCAGCCCTTTTCCAAGAGCCCCGTGGGGATTCTGGGTTAGAACTACTCCCCAGCTATCTCTGCTGGTTGTAAGAGGCGACTTCGTGGATCGGGTGGTCAGGCTTGGTGACTGGGCTGATTGCGTGTCATTGTACCCCGACGGCGTTGATCTTTGGTTACAGTATCAAACACAGGATTGTCCGTCATATAGCTGGATTATTGATGGGTGCGGCTTTAAACAACAAACAAACAAACAAACAAAGAAACACTTCAATAAGCCGAAATAGAAAATGACATGTCTACCTCTGCTTCTCTGTCTTTAAAGTCCACCGCTAGCCACGGCATGGTGGAAAAGTATTCGTCGAAATCTTCTTTCTCTTCATCCGAACTGAGAAACACGATCTGGAGGGCGCCATCTTGTTTTGTTGAGGTCACGTGGTTGTAGAATGCCAGAAGCTGTTTTGTGAAATGCCGACAGGGAGGACACCACTGGGCCCCGAAATACAGACCTGGAGGAAACAAAGAGTAGAAGCTTACACGAAATCTTTGAAACACAACTTGTTTCAAGTAATTCATCAATGTTGAAACATTTACTGCCAAAATGAGTAGGACATATATATTTGTCGCGATACTGATCCTAAACGAATCAATGCGATGCATTATTTAGTAATTTACGTTATTTTTGATGTGAGAGGCGAATTTTTGAAAAAATGCAGTGAAGTTATTTCAAAGGGCGACATTCGATCTGGCTTACAACATTTATGACCTCAGTATGGCTTTCAAAAAGTGTTATGGTAGACATGAGGAGGATATTTCCATATTTGATGCATCGGTGACAAGAAATATGTCCCAATGTTGACTTTAGATGCGCCAGAATCCTACAATCATGGGTGGAAACACGTCCCGGCTACTGGTTTGTGGTATGTCAGGACCAATCCCGTACTTGTGAATTTCTCCAACATGAGACAACAGCAGTGATACTGACTGGAATACCGTTCGTGTGTGTGTGCGTGCTTGCGTGTATGCGTGCGTGCGTGCGTGCGTGCGTGTACCACGCACAGGAGTAGGGAATTCAATGTTGTTTGATGTGATTCCCTATTTTGATTTGTCAGTTGAAAAATCGACTTGCCATGTGTTCCTGGCGGGTGCTACCGTTGGTGCAGCATACGCTCACTGTGATAGGGATTCATTGACACAAGCTTGCCATTCAGACGGAATCGTGACATGTTTTCTGCTTTTAGTAGGGAGTTGTTATGAGTATGGATATGGTTTGGCGTTTTAATTAAGGCCATAAAGGGCAAGGTAAGGTGTTAGAAAGCGACAAAACCCTTTCCATATCCAACAGAAATCTCTTCATGAAGCTGAGTTGATTGTGCGATTCTGACCATATCACGAGCATGTGTTTACGAATCACTATCACTATGATACCAGGTGTTCGCGAAAAGGTGAGCGTATCCTGCCGCGCCGGTGGCATTCGTCACAAACACATGCACAGGCAAGTCAATTGTTCCCGTGAAAAACAAAACAAAACACGGGGACATATTGTACAGGTAAAAAAGGGAATTTAATCGGACATTATTTTTGTCACTGATGCGTTAAATTTGGAAATGTGTTCCACATGTCTACCATAAAACATTTTGAAAGCTCTACTGCGGCCTCGGGTGGTGTAACCTTGATCAAACAAATTCTGAGCAAGAGTCGTATGACGCTCTTTGAAATCTTTGTAGTAAGAGCATGCTCGATTGTATCTCAAAGGTAGTGAAACAGCAAAGGCTGGAGCTGCTGGAATATTGCACGACACGAAGGGAAAGTTGACTATTGGAAAGATGAAGTCATCCCTCTTGTCATGCAGTCTTTTGGAGAATGTTTTATGCATAGATCGAAATATGAAACAGATGAGGCGGTCTCATTGGTCTCCTTTATCTCTAGGTCAGGTGGGTAAATCAGTCGAAGGGAATTTGATTGTTATAGAACGATATCGGATCATCGATATACCTGGAGCTTAAGTTAAACTTCTTTGCCAAATTACCTTGTTTTGACTTTGTGAATCCGAACAGAAATTCCGATTGATATGCATAAAGAAACAGATCCACAAGAAGGGGAGCACATTTGGTGCCCATGGGGATGCCTACTTCTTACCTAAATGTCTTACCCCAAATTGTACGCAGACGTTTTCCATGAGGAAGTCCAGCATTTCACATATATCTTTCTCAGTAAACTTTAGATGGCATTTGCTTTCATCTGTTACACATTGTCCCGAACCTCTGAGTATAGACACGTAACTGTATCTGTGTTCACCACGTTTTGTAACAAAAAAACATGGATCAAGGATTTAAGTTTGTTATGTTTGATAGTGGTGTTCAAAGTAGAAAAATCCAATATTTTGACAAAAGGGAAGTTGGTTCTTTTCTGACATTGCAAAACGTCAAGCAAATCCTTTGAGTTTTTGAGAATCTACATGGTATTAATTCCACTTGTCTCAAATACTTTTTGTAAATATATAGAAAGCCCTTCCTCGATTGTTATCAGGATTATGGTCAGTCTTTGAGACAGGGATTCGGTGGTACATTTGCTGGACACAGCAATATCTCTCCCCTTGTACGGAATGTTATGGAGCTTTGGAATCAGTACAAAAGAGGAATGGACATGTCTTCAGGTTTTAGAGTCAAGTCAAAAGTGGACAGTACTGATTTATAGTTTTGGCAGATTTCTTCCTCAGCTAACATACTGGCTTTATATGTGGCATTATTTGATATGTCATGTATACCAAGTTCTTTGATCAAACAATGAATGTAGTGATGCTGACATATGATGGTTATGTTATTCGAGGTCTTGTCAGTGGGAACAACTACACACTTGTCATGTAGGGCTACCAGACTTTGGATGTCAGCTGGCTGGGACAGAATGAGCTTTTTTCCAATTCAGTTCTCACTTTTCAAGTTTTGTGCATTCAACCAATGACTGCATCACGCACTGACTTAACCCACTCTGAAAGACATTCAACAGGTTCCTGTTCTCTTTTGGCCCATGTTTTGGCATACTCTTCAACAGCATCCATAATGATTTTTGAAACCTTTTGTACATGATGAAAGCAATACGCGTTCTGAAATCGTAAAGCTAAGGCTTTGACTTTTCACTCTTCACGACTTTTGTCAACAGCAAATGAAGAGGAAAGCCGAACATGTGTATTAAGCAAAAAGGCTGATATTGCAGGTTTTCATGAAGTTTGTTTCTAAAATTATAAAAAGGAAAGCCTAATCTGCTTGTTTTAGGCTGGTGATGGTGTTAGTTCACCTTCTGTCAAAAAGTCAAATTAAGATTTTCACTTGAAGAACTAAAATCGGCACTTTTCACTCATTTTAGTCATCATGCCTTTCTGCTCAGCGATAATTTAGATAAATACAAGTCAGGTGTTAAAAAACCCAAAAAAACTAGTTGTGAGTAATTTGAACATGTTCGATAAATGACGTTACCAAATTTCAAAGTTTTGCACAACTTTGAAATTGTCTATTCCATTTGGTCCTTATCAAGCCAACCGCCCCGTCTGCCGGAGAGCGGAAGGTCCGGGGTTTGATCCCCGGTCGCGTTATACCAAAATACGTTAAAAGATGGTACTTGTTGTCACTCTGTCTGGCGCTCGGGGCTAAGACAAGGTATACTGTGTCTGAGTGGGGTGAAACTACGGCATGGTATCTCAGTGGGCTAGCACCATCAAATCGACGTTAGTCTAGTCCAGACTAGTGCAAGCAGCAACACACACACACACACGCACGCACGCACGCACGCACGCACGCACGCACACACACACACACACACACACACACACACACACACACACACACACACACTTTATAAGTGCAAATGAAACCCCATTTCACCTCACCTTATCAGACCAGATCCTTTCTACAATATTCATGACTTCACATATTAAACCCTGAATGCGATATCATAGGAATGTACACTCACCCACCACAGCCCCTTCCCTGGTCAGCGACGCGGGGTCAGCCTGATACCCGTGTCTGTCCACCAGCGAGTCTCCAAGAAGTTCCACAATGGAAGTCATCCTCTCTACCCCGGCTGATTCCTGGTGCGACAGTCAGTGTTGAAGAAAGTCACTTGGAAGATGAGGACCTTGTCGGTGACGCCAACTGCCGGACCGCGAGACGGTTATGCCTGGTAATGACCATCAACACTTTTGTAGGGCTGCCTTGCGTTCGATCTGTCAGGATCCGCTTCTCATTCAGGAAGTATGTACATGAAATTGCTTTCTTAATAAGCCGTTAATACTGCTGCAACGTGACTCACTTCACGATCATAAATCTAACGCAATCGTGATTCCGAATATCCGTAATGAATATTGTCTATCGGACGATATTACTGCCTCTGCTAAACGACCTATCCCAAGTACCGGTACTGTTTTCAGTTCAGCCTTCCTTTACAAAATTGTGCATCATGTGCTTTATACAATGTTCATCCAACAGCGTGCCCTGTATCAACTGACTAATACCATATACTGGTACTATTAGTCCCCCGTCGTGTCTGGGAAGTTGGGTGTTATATTACCATGGCAACGTACCGTATTACGTTGGAGACGGGATACACAATGGAAGTCGCGACACGGATGTAAGTGATTTCGGTTAAATGTATATACATATATATAAATATATGTGTGTGTGAGTATGTATACCACAGGAAACAGATTACTTCCTGTAGTAGTTGATAGCATTACTTATGACCAATAGATTCTGTTGTTATAATGCTATCTCCAATGTGACTGATGATTAATGAATAAAAGAAACGGCAAATGGAAATCTGGTAATTTGTCAAACTGTAATGCATCTTTAGTCAGCCAATTTATATTTCGAAATAACTAAAGGTTTTGTATTTTGTTTTACTATCATGGATATGGTAATTTATGGTTTGTGATGAGAAATGTACATTTCAGTTTTCTCTGTATTGTTAACATATTGACTACATATGTAGTGCATGTAACACATCCATACCGGGTCAGATCCGATCACCAGCAACCACTGCTGGTTGTAAGAGGGGGCCAAATGGATCAGGTCTGGTGGTCGTTGATAATGTGTCCTTGCTGATGAGTGAGTGAGTGAGTTAAAAGTTAACGTCGCATCGTCATTATTTCAGCCATATAGCGACGAGACCATGATATCTTCACTGGTGAGTCATGGGAGCAAAGTTGTATTAAAAACAAATTTTATCAGACACATTTCTGTATAACAATACCAATCATACAGTTTAAAACACGGGCCTTGT